GTACTGCGTCATTTCGATTGCGAGCTTGTTTGGCATTTTGACGCCGGAGCTCACGCTCGGCGTCGCCGACTTTGTGGCCGCGTGCCAGACGTACGAAGGTGGCTTCGGGCCCATGCCGTACCAGGAAGCGCACGGCGGCTACACCTTCTCGGGCGCGGCGATCCTCTCGATCTTGAACGCGCTGGACCGGGTCAACATCCCCGCCCTCACGGTAGCGCTACCGTTGCCAACGTCGTCCTTCTTTAATGACTCTGCATAGCACTATGTCGCGCACCGTCAAATGGCCGTCGAGGGCGGGTACCAAGGCCGTACCAACAAGCTCGTCGACGGGTGCTACAGCTTCTGGATGGGGGCGGTGCCTGCGCTCTTGGCCCCGTACACGCGTGGTACGCTTCGTCATCACTTGCTCTCTCGCTCGAATTATGCCCCTGTAGGCATCTACGTGAGCGACCGCGCAGCCCACCAACGCTACATCTTGTTGTGTGGCCAACAGCTCGAAGGCGGTCTCCGCGACAAGCCGGGCAAGCCTCGCGACCACTACCACTCGTGCTATGTTCTGAGTGGCCTATCGCTCTCGCAGCACGGGGACGGCCGCCCCGAGACACCCGTCTTTATTGCGGGGTCGCCCGAGAACCGCGTCGAGCCCACCCACCCCGCGTACAACATTTCGCACGATAAGGTGCTCTTGATCCAGTCGTATTTCGCAGAGAAAGTGGCCGGTGCGACCCGCATCGAGGTCCTCGAAGAGACTATGGATTAGATGCAGCTGCGACTCCTACGATAACAAAGACTCGTGGTGTCTTGGTCGTTCATTCATCGACTCGAGTCCTGTAGATGTAAGCAGTGCGTGGCCATCCCAGGGGTCCTTTCCGCTTGGCTGCATGAAGGATAGAGGCGAGAGCAGCATGAGAAAGTCAACGCGTTAGCTTATTGGATCGGCGGTCGCGTCAAGTCTTCACTGTAGCGGGGCTGTTTTCGGACGGGGCTCTGCATCGTGGCGAGCGTCTGTCGGCGCTTCTGCTTGGTCGCCGACCGATGCAGCGCATCTTGCTTGGCCAAATCAGCAACGTACTTTTGATGGTACTTGATGAACGTCGACTCGATCGGGCGGTCTTCGGCGGGAAGCGAGCCAAACAGCTCGTCGGTATGGGGCGTCGTGGGATCAACTATGGGGCGTCATGTCAACCTCGAGAAAGCTGCAAGTAAGCACCCACCGTCGGCGACAGCCTTGGGAGCGGGCGAGCCTGGAATTGCCAAGACGCTCAGGAAGCGCTTGGTTCGCCGCTGCAGGCGGCCGACGAGCGCGTCTAGAAGGTGCACCGACTCGGTCGCCTTCTTTGTGAACGGCAACCAGCGCTTCTGGTCTTCCAAGTACGCCGCATGGAGCGTCTGCAGGAACGAGACGAGCTCCTTCGTTGCTCCCGTCAAGTGGCTCAGGGCGACGGTCTGTGGCCGGGTCACGACGCCATGAAGGTCGTCGAGCGTCGCGTGAAGCACCTCGAGCTCCGCTTGCACGTCGGTCTCGACGACGACGTAGCGAGCGTCGGCGCAGGAGGCTAAGCTTAGGACGCCGTCCATGCACGTCGAGAGCCACGTCTGCAGCGCTTGGACCTCGGCGATGGCCGACGCTGTCGCTTCCTGCATCGTCTTCGAATTGCAACTGGCGGCAGACTGGCCGGTTCCAGCGATGCGATTGGCTATAATGCAATCGACCTACCAGCCGCTGTTGTATTTTATTTTAAATACGATCGCACACTCGGTATTTGTATCTACAAAACGAGGTCAAATTATTTGACGATCAACACTAGGAATGGCGCCAAGATCGCGGGCTCCAGAGGCAGGACCGCCAACTGGTGCACCACTGCCTCCTGCCTGGAAGCCAGGAGGCGGAAGAGGACACTGTATGACGACCTGACCGTAAGTAGTGGCTCGTAGCTAGGCCTTTTTGTAGTTTAGACACGTATCTAAGGCATGTTCTAGTACCAGTGGTATCAACGAGTATGCTTTCGAGTCCCGGGTGGCGACCATTATTAGCAGCTTGCGGTTCGCATTGTGGTGCGGGAGAAGCATCCGTGACAAATGCTTGAAGCGGCTCGGGTCTTGAGCAGCTCGGAGGTCGTCCTTGTCCTCGGCGGGTGGTCGTTGGCGTTTACTATGAGAAGAGAGACGCTTGAGTCCCCGCTTTTGTGGGCAGCGACGATGCCCTTCTAATCTCTTGGGATCTTCCTAGCTATCTTTGTGCTGCAACTAAAGCACGGCTTCAAGTTGACGGAGAGCAACCGAATCGCTCCACC